GTATGACCCAGGTAGAGATGCTAAGTTGGCTTAAAAATTAAAATATGACCACATAAAACTGTGTACATGGATGCATTATTCATGAAATATATTAAAATATGGAAACTTAAATTTTCGTCATGAATGGATCTACAAAATGAGCTATATCTACATAATGTGATATTACTTGAAAACAGATACAGTGAAATACCAGTAACATGCTACATAAAAAACACATCCTCACCTTTGGTGCACCGGATCCTCATGACTGCTTCAAAGCCAATCTTCCGAGTGAGGTATCTCTGCAGTTCTTTTTGGAATTTCTGTACCTGGACTGGGTTGTGTTGATGATGGTAAGAAGGATAGTAGTAGACACTACCTGCTGAGTATCGAGAAATACAACCTGGAAGAGAATATATGCTTCTTATAAACTTTGCCATTAACTACTATTGCAAAATCAAAATAATGAAAGTATTTGACACCACCTTTCTTTAACTTCTCAAGCTATTGTGAAAAAGAATAATTCACCCTTTTAAATAGTAGTATAGAAATCTCTGTTAATGAATGTTTAGTATAGAAGAGTAAGGTCTGTAATAGAGTAAACGGACTAATTCTTCTGAGGGAATAAAAATCATTTTAGTTTATCTTCTATTTAAATATACCATCAGATAAATATTATTTGATATATTCAACTGAAGAAAATAATCATTAGGAAGAACTTACCCAGAGAAGCCAAATCCGAATACTGTCCACTGAGAAGGAATAAGTCAACAGCTACCTGCTGACCAGAACAGTCCAAGGCTAACTTCTTATAGAAGTCAGTGGATGGTGTCAAGTGTATTTCCTATTAATAACAAAAACAGCATGTCTAAAAAATATAATTTCAAACATACATGTACTTTGCTAACAACAATTATCTCTGGGCAGTATACCAAGTCCTTTTGTTTTGCTATATTTTCTGATTTTGCAGTAAGCAGCATATATTACTCTGCTGGAAGAGTAGGATCAAGTCTCAAATATGCCTTTTAAATTTTATCCTTTTGTATTACACCTTTTGGCCCGCACTGTATCATACACCTCTGTGAATGTAAAATATCTTGTACTTGTTTCGTGATATTAATACTGGCCACACTATCCTAGAATCATGTTTTTTTTAATTAGGAAAACTAGGAAGTTTTCTTTCTAGATGATGACTGAAAAACTTTCAAAAGAAATGTGCCAGGTACCACAACATTAAAAAAAACGTTACTGTTTCCTGAATCTGTTTGGTAC